AAGTCCATTAAGGATTACCAGAAATAACAACATATCTATTTTAACCTTGATCAAATAAACCCACTTTATATTCCTTCCTTTTACTGATGTCTTAATTAAAAGGGACATACAAATAACAAACCAGAAGGGTGACTTGGATAACTTTCCTGTATTGGATTTACGAAAGAGAGCTGTTAAAGTTTCGAAGAATTTTGTGAGAAGGGACAAAGAAAAAATGAAAAGAAGTCAAGTTCTAGGACATTACTTGAAGCGATTAAAGACCAAGATGAAAAGAAAACAAGCTCTAGGACTATTTGAAGGGATTAGTTATTAAGACTGTCAAGAAAAGTTCTGATTTAGCCTGACTTGTGAAACACTAGTTTCTTTGTGGAGGAATTTTTTTTTAAATTTCTGGGTAGAGGAGCATATAATCATGTGAGTCCTTTTCCTGCAGCTTGAAGTGGAGCAAACTAGATGCCTGCCTCTTGAGCTGCATTGGTGTACTGACCAAGTCAGTCTCAACATTCCTCCCCATGCTTTTGCATCAGGCGATGGACAAAGAGGACATTTGGTCCTAGCTTTTCACCAGCAGCACAAGATGTCACAAAATGCATTCTCTTGCTAGATTTGCTATATGGAAAGTTGCCGGCAAAAAGGCTAGGTTTCTGCTGTTAAATTCCTCCAAGCTCCATAAAACAACAGGACAGTTTATGTAGGGAGCAAGCAGCTTCTGGAAGGAAGATAACAGTTGCAGCAACTTGCCATCGTTGTCTGTGTGTGATGGATGTGAATGACCTCCTTCCGCCTCTTGCCAGTTGGTCATCTGGAGGGTTGATTTACAAACTGTTGGGGGAGCTCTGCTTTTCTGGGAAAGACAGCCTACCTGTCACCATCTAACTTCCCTCTTCAAATTGCCTTGGGTTCTGCTTGTGATTTTCCTCCAGGCTTTCCCTGGCCAATGTGTGAAATACAGTGCTGCACTCTACCTTGGCTCTCTTGCAGGTGTATTTTTCTGGAAGGTGCTCTAAGCTCAGATGAGGCCCGGCAGGTGCCTGTATAAATTGCAGATTCCTCAGGACCCTCTGTAAAAATAGAGGCGTGGAGCACTTCCTGAGCAGGCGGTTCAGCCTATTAAGTACTTGAAGTTAGGAGATTTTGAATACTGGCTGATTTTGATAGAGAGCAAAGGGGAGTGGAAGCACCCCCTTTTTAACCCTTATGCAAAAATAGCTACAAATGATGAATCTTGCAGGTAATGATGTTCTCTTTGTCGGATAGACACATTGGTCGCAGTTTTGGAGCGAGACAGCCTTGGCATCCGGGAGGTGCGCCTCTTCAATGCAGTGGTCCGGTGGGCAGAGGCTGAGTGCCAGCGGCAACAGTTGCAGGTGATACCAGAGAACAAGCGGAAAGCTTTGGGCAAAGCACTTTCCCTCATTCGCTTCCCCTTGATGACAATTGAAGAATTTGCTGCAGGTATTTGGGGACTGTTTCTCAAAAGTGGGGTTTTAAATCTGCAGAGATCTGACTGGTTAATAGCTTTATGCCAGGGTGGGTATTTCTATATTAAAAACATTTTTACTCCTTCGTTTTGATTCTGATTCCCTGTCGTCAACAGCTACTTACAGATAAAAAGATATGGCAGTTTAGGTAACAGGGCAGTTTACAAACTAAGCATGCTTACCCACACCAGAAATACCTATTAGAAACAAAGGAGCATGTTTGGCGAAGGTACAACTGTAACCAACCTATGAATACCTACCTTCATATGTATCCACAGTCACCCAGATGAAACCAATTCATGCTTTCTGTCTTACATATAATTCATACTGTAAGCCCTTGTATTCATAATTAAAACTTCCATGCATTCTTCTGATGGCCCCTCATATCTGAAACAGCCTCCCTCCCCAGATATTTGGATCACTGTCTCCCTATTATATTTTTAAAGAGCCATGACATTTATTTATATAATATAAATAATGTTATATTATCTGTAAGATGTTTGTAGCCTTCAGATATGGAACAGCATATAAGCTGAAGAATAAAATAAATAAATCTTCTTATAAGACATCAACTATTTACTTCTCAGAATTGTCATTTAGCTAAGAAGCAGCCACATTCCAAGTATTTGTTGGGGAGCGCGGGGTGTCTTTACAAGAGTTTTCAGCAGTTTTAGAAAGTGAATATTTCAAGTTTTCCTTACTGGAGCCTCCAGAGTAGAGAATGGTGGGGCTAGAGCTCTTTGGTGAAGAGGATGAAAGGCAAAATGGTCAGTTGTCCCCTCTGTTATTCCCCTTCCTTTTCTCCCCTCTGTCCCCCTTTGATGGGCTGTTGACTAAAGGAGAGATTATTCTTGCCATCCGTCTGTATTTCAGGAGAGGATGAAATTAGGCTAAAGACCAGAGATTGCTCACGCTTGCTCTAGAGCAGTGTTTCTCATCCTCGGCGACTTTAAACTCTGTGGATTTCAATGCTGGCTGAGGAATTCTGGGAGTTGAAGTCCACACAGCTTAAAATTGCCAAGGTTGAGTCACACTGCTGTAGAGCATCAAGGGAGCTCATTTAAATATCTTTGGAGTGACCAGGCACTGCAGATTTTTTAAACTGGACAGAGGATCTATTTTATACTTTTTTCTCCTAACCAGTGATGTTGATGGTGATGGGTTAAGGAGATGTAAAACCAGTTTAAATAAATATGGACAAGAAATGAATATATGTCTGTAATAGATGAATCAGTTTGGACAATTTTTTAGGGATAACTGGAATCATTTGGTAAAGATGCTATTTTGCTGAGAGATAGCATGTTATGCTGGTCAGATAGATACTATAGTATGATAAGCTAAATCTCCGTCCATTCTACCATATTTCAGTTTTAGGCATAGATTCAAAATACTTTCCCTTCCAGTAAAAACATAGTTGAATTTTTATTTAAAATTTTTTTACATTATTGTAGCTATTTGGGTACTGACTTTAAAATATGGCTTGATTTTTACCTGCATTGTTCTTCTCTGATTATTATATTAAGACAAGTTAAAAAAAAAAAAGACAGGCAGAACTTTTCTTGTGTTGTCTGCCAATTAATTTCATATTATGTGCTTTCTTTATAGCCTGCATCCGTTTATAACTTTTTGTAAACTAGAACATTATGGTAGCCTGGTATTATGCTTAACATTGAACAAAACTGGGGAGATCTCTTCTGCTCAGTGTGTAGAACTTGCTTGTAAAACTTGAAGTGTTACTTTGTCTTTGTCTTGCTTCATGTTAGACCAGTATTTCTTAACCTCAACAACATTAAGAAGTGTGGACTTCAACTCTCAGAATTCTCCTTCATGCTAGCTGGGAAATTCTGGCAGTTGAAGTCCACATATCTTAAAGTTGCTAAGGTTGAGAAACACTGTGTTAGATGGTCGTTGTGAGAACACTGGACAACAGTGGACATGGGGAGGGGGTATACTCCATAGAATCACAGAATTGTGGACCTGGAAAGGACCACAAGGTCCATTTAGTTCAACCCTCTGTAATGTGCAGAAAAAGCAATTACAGGTAGTCCTCGAACTACGATCATTCGATCAGCAACCGTTCCAAGTTACGATGGTGCTGAATGAATGGTGGTTACAACCAGTCCTCGGAGTTCTGGCCATCCAAGGATCCCTGCGGTCATGTGATCACAGTCTAGTGCTTGGCAACCTGTTTGCACTTACAACCAATTGCCAAGCACCCTGCGATTGCGTGATCGCCATTTGCAACCTTCGCTACCAGCTTCTCCAAAAAGTAAATGAGGAAGCTGGCAGGGAAAGTCGCAAGTCACTGGGGTAAGTCTCCCCCACCCGCCCATCCTCCCCCAGCCCCCCTGCGCTAGCACCACACTGGCCACTTGCACACCTCGCACACGCTCCCTGACCCACACTGCGCCTCTCGTGCACCTTCCCCAACCCGCACTATCCCTCTCGCCCCCCTCCCCTCCCCTCCCCTCCCCCATTGTGTGGTGCCTCTTGCACACCCTTCTCAACCCCAACCTGTGCTGCGCCTCTTGTGCACCCCCTCACCCCTTCACACACCCTCACTGAACCTCTCTTGCACCTTTGTGCACCCTCCTCATGCTGTGCCACGCCTCTTGCATACCCTTCCCAACCCTCCCCCTCACTCCCTCTCCCACCCGGCAGCAGCAACTGATCTGCTGGCTGGCCTGGGCCTTGCAACTTCCTGCCAGCTTCACCACTGACTTTGGTTGTGGGAAGCCAGCAGGAAGTTGCCTCGGCTAACGACCATGGGATTCAGTTAACAACAGCAACCAGAACTGCAGGGATTGCTGTCACTAAGTGATGCAGTTGCGCTTTGCAACGCATTGCTTAGCAATGGAAATTCCGGTCTCAATTGCCATTGTAAGTTCAGGACTACCTGTAAATCATCCTTAAGAGATAGCTGGTCTCTGGGAGGAAAAGCAGGAGAAATGTATCTCAGTGAAAGTAGTGATCTTCTCACTATGGTTATCAGAGTTCCTAAGGTGTTCTGCTTTCTCCAGGGCCAGCTCAGTCGGGGATCCTCACTGACCGTGAGGTGGTTAGCCTGTTCCTTCATTTCACTGTCAACCCCAAGCCACGCGTAGAGTTCATTGACCGCCCTCGCTGCTGCCTGAGAGGGAAGGAGTGCAGTATCAACCGTTTCCAGCAGGTGGAAAGCCGCTGGGGATACAGTGGGACCAGTGACCGGATCAGGTATTCTTTCCAGCACCGCTCCATTGATCAAGTCAGTAAAAACATCATTGGGTTCTCAGGTGGGGAAGCTTTGTGGTTCATCCAGCTGCCTTGGGAAATTTTGGAAGAGCTTCTGAAATTATTAGAGCAGCCTGTCATTTAGAGCAGTTCTGGATATCTGAACTACATTCATCATCAGACAGAGTAGCAAGTAATAGCGCTCCTTTGTTGGGGGGGTGGGGGGAAGAAGCCTTGGGAGGAGTCCAAGTTCCATGTTTTGCTTTTGAATGGTGTGCTCAAAAAGTAGGTGGGGTCAGGATAAAAGTGGGCAGGAACCAGGAGAAAATTAAATGAAAAAATAAAATTTTAAAAAGTCTGTAGTTTGAGCAGTGAAATATAATCCTGGGAATGTCATTGTGGGACTGAAGGCAGAGAAATGAGGCTAGCTCCAGTTGATGGACTCCAACCTGGGACATGGCTAGGAAAGGGAGAAATGTGATTCATAGGTGCAAAGGGTCAGGTGTACCCCAATATGAGCCTTGCTGTCTTCCACATAGTTAATGTGTACAACTCACTTCTATCTATACTTTGTGAAAGTTTAAGCAGGGCTGAGTGTGCCCCCGAGCAGTGGAGCATGGCCAGCAGTGGATCTGTTGATCCAGCATTGATAAGTGGGTCAATAATCCCAAAACATCATGTAATCTGCTGTTACCTTGCAGCTGAACAGGTTGAAATTGATGCTTATCAGTTTATTCACCTTTTTCTTGTGTACTGTAGCAAAAAAGCATCTGGGAACAAAACAAATGGTAATTAGGTGCAGAAAGCAGAAAGCATCTGGCACTGCTTCAAAGGTTTGCCCCCTTTTTTGTTTCCATCCCATTAATTTTTATTTGAAATGATGGTGTGCAGATCTGGATTGGTGGCTATTGCTGACTTACATGACCGAATTATTTTCAAATCTCAGGCTTTGGGTATTCAAAATGCGAGGGCTGTCTCCCAGAGAACAGCGGGAGAAGACGGCGCAAACTTTATAACTGGAGTAGCCTCTTTCCCATTGATTTGGCCTCTCTTTTTTTTTTTCAAACTCTGCAGGTTCTCTGTCAACAAGCGGATATTTATAGTTGGATTTGGGTTGTATGGCTCGATCCATGGCCCCACAGATTATCAAGTAAATATACAGGTAGATAACTTCCTGGATTTGATTTGCATGAATGGGTTGTGAGGCAACAAGAGTGAATGTACAGGTACTTCCCCGAGATCTTGTTATCAAAAAGGAACATTGCTGTTTTTGCTATAAGAGAAGTTGCAACTTCTTCCATTAATGCATATTAGAAATTAGAAAAGTGTATTTATGTTCCCAGAAAATCATAGTTAAGTTTTCTGTCTCTTTTCCTTCCACCTTTTCAGATAATTCACACAGACAGCAACACAGTCCTGGGCCAAAATGATACTGGGTTTAGCTGCGATGGATCCTCCAATACTTTCCGGGTGATGTTTAAAGAGCCTGTTGAGATCCTGCCCACTGTCAGTTACACAGCCTGTGCAACACTGAAGGTGCTCTGAGTCTGGGAGGAGGGAATATTCTTGAAAAAGCAATTCTGGAGCTTTTTCTGAAGTTGCTTTGCTTGGTGGGGAGAAAGCAAGGAATCTGCATAGCCCAGCAGGCTGACTTTAAGATTTGGTGATAGGGTGGAAGCAAAGAGCCTGGGTGATTGGTTATTCTTGTGAGGTACTCCCTTGTGTGTGGTATCTTGCACTCCCAGGGGAAAGGCAGAATATAAATGCAGTAATTAAAAAAATAAATCACTGGCTGTGTTCACTTTGGTGGGTTGCTCAGTGTTCAGGCCTGCTGTGGTCTATAGGAGTCAGGTGGGTGGCCCGAGCCTCAGTAGATAAGCCTCAGGGCTAGATAAAGGGATGCTGTTCTTACAACTTTTTTTTTTCCTGTCTGATGATTCATGTAGGGACCCGACTCTCACTATGGAACCAAAGGGTTGCGGAAGGTGGTCCATGAGTCACCAACAACAGGGACAAAGACCTGTTTTACTTTCTGTTATGCTGCTGGGAACAACAACGGCACCTCAGTGGAAGATGGACAGATCCCAGAGATCATCTTCTACACATAGCTGCTGCTGCTGGAAATTCGCCACCAGACAGGCTCGGCACTCCCCTCCTGCCCCCTCCACATGCCCTTCGAAGCCGAGATCGCCAGCTTGTTTTCTGCTATAGTAATAGGATGGACTCCGGTCAGCAGACTCAGGGCAAGCACTCCCAGATTGCATGTACTGTACATGGCTGGTGTGGGATATGATGTTCACAATCAGAAGCATGTCGGCCTTGCTTGCCAGGCTGAGGCGGGGCTGGCAATCCCTTCTGTATGTGTGGGCAAACTGGCTGGGTGATTTTGTTGCACTGAATGTAGCTGCTTTTCCATCTAGCCATTCTCATGGAGGCATGCTTACTCTTACGAGAAGTGAGCCCCCACCAAAGAGACCCCCCTCCCCACATTTCTGGCAGGTAGGAGGCTAGCATGGGGGGTGGAGAAGGCGGCTTAGATGGTAGTTTGGTAAATAGCAGCAGCGTGGCAGGGCTTTATTCAAAATGCACTTGTCCCCTCCCAGTTATCTAGCAGGACAAATGGTTATTCTCTTTGGGGTAATTGTGTACAGAGTCTGAAGGCAGGGGCGAACATTTTGCACGACAGGCAGCATTTCAAGACAATCCTTGACATGGAGTAAATAGCAGAGCTAAACACAGGCCACTCAACTGACCTCCCAGTGTGTGTTTGCTAGCTTTCAGGGGCAAGTAAAATAGCCCTTAAGGCATCCGTTACTGACCTGGTGTCTTCCTGATATGTTGGATTGAAACCCCTATCATGTCCAGACAATACAGGCAGCCCTGCTTGGTGAGGATGATGCAGGTTGAAGGCTACTACTTCTGGAGGGCAATATTGGGAAAGGAAAGGCTGTCTTAAGATCTCCCTTAGATGGCTTTTCCTACTTGGGTGAGGTTGCTGAACAGTCAGGAAAAGGTTGTGGATTTCCTTTGGGACAGCCTTGGCCATGAGGCACTTCATGACCATGTGTACTTGATCATTGTAGTAAGAGAAGCATCTGAAATTTCTGGACTTCTATCCTCAGAAGGTTTCTGCTGCTGCTAATATAGTGCAACTTAACAATGCATTTTGATTCTTGTTACCTTAGTGACAGGCTGGTGCTGTGGTTAGTTTGTGTGTGTGTGTGTGTGTGTGTGTTTTCCCCCTAAACAGGGAGTGAGCTCACTGTGTCTTAAGCCATTTTTTGCAGGAATCTAATTCAGAAAGAAGGGTTTCAGGAATATTTTTGGTGGGGGGGAAATGCCCCTTTATGTTCACCGATTCTTAAGCTAGAACATGATTCTCTTGGAGTGGGCAGAAAAAGCATGCCTTGCTACCATTGTTCCAGTGGTACCGAAGATGCATTCAGGATAGCCCTAGGCAACATCAGCTGTTTGGCAGAACTGCTTCCCCAGCTGTCCTGTGTTCCTACTTGTAAGCCTCAGCTGTCAGTGTGCCATCGATGCTACATACCTACATTTGTTACTTTGGGGAAATTGCAGTATGAAGCAATCAAACCTAGAAAGTATTTGAAGGGGTTGTCCAAAACCTTTATTCTGGCAATAAGGGTTCCCCCCCACCCCAAAAATGGGGTGGGGTGGGCTAGTGGGTCAGCTTTTCCTTCTGGTTGGAGGGCAAAACTAAATCCTCCTGTGATGATCTACAAATTCATTTATCCATTGTTACTGCAAAATTGTCAACATCCATGAGTAATTGTTTTGGTCAAGGATGTTGTGTGATTATTTGCACCCAAACCATATTCCAAACCATATACATGCCCTTCTCCAGAGTAAGTAATCAGCAAGAAAACAGTTCAATTCTCTGAGAAATAGTTCCTCATATTAGAGATCTGTGTAATTCATCTAATACTCAGATGTGTTGCGATATGTTTGTTTCTCAGATGTCCAGACTGCAAGGAAATGATCCTTACTTGCTTTCTCCAACCTGGTGCCTTCTTGAGGTGCTGGACTTCAACTTCTATCATTCTCCAGCCAGCAATCAGGCCATTACTTTGGGAAGACTGCTTTCCAACAGGACACATTGGATTTGTCCTGATGGCACTAAGGCCATGTTGGTGCTCCACAGTTGAATCCACCTTCCTCTGGTTCTTGCTAGCAGAATATTTGACCACAAAAAGTCTGCAACCGGGGCAAAATCTTTAATGAGGAAAAAGGGTTGCCCTGGTTTTCCGTCTGCCACTGTCAGTAGGTGCATTTCCCTTTGAAACTGCTTGTGTTGGGAAGTACGGATTTTTCCGCAGAGGTCCTTGAGGCTTATTATGTCATTCAAGTCTGTTGAGTGTCTCCCTGTATATTGTCACTCACTATGTAATACATGTGTGTACATTTCTATTATGGCCAGTATGAAGAATGGAACCATTCTTCATTTACTAGCTCCCCATCAGCAGAGTGGAGAAAATACGCGCCTCAGTGGTTTTTATCAAAAGGCTTATTCAGTATCCATATATTAGTTTGTAGGGCTATAAACTTTATAGCTTGCTTTCCTGCTAGACCAAAAGGATTCTCAACATCCCCTTATCTCCTCCTCCACCCTTCATTTTTCAGAGACATGTTCTCTCAGCAATGTGCTAATCTGTTTTTCTGTAGATAGACAAAAAATAATCATTGACTACTTTTTTTAAGCCTACTTAAAAAAATAGCTTAAAAATAGTTTGTAATTATGATTGCAGGCTACTTTAAGTTGGATGACTGAAAGCGCTTCTGTGCAGTCATCCTTTGAAATCCCTTTGGGAAGTGGGTCTCTGTGTATCAAATCTGATGTTTATTAAAATGTCACCAACTGAAGGGAAAGTTCAGTTTAAATTCTTGGAGCTTGATGCAGATTCTACCATTTGCAAATTAATCTTGGTGATACCAAGAGACAAACTTCCAATAGTGTCACCAACTGCTCATGCCATGCTATACAATAATAAATGTATCAGAAACTGTATTATTCAGTGTTTCACCACCTCTCCTTCCTTCCTCCCTATTTGTAAATAGCAAATGAATAAAGGCAGCAAAATTGTCTTTAAGCAGGCTTTTTTTTGTGTGACATGAGAGAATGGGCATCCATGGCTAAGTTTAAATTGCAGAAGGCAGAATATGTTTTGTGTGCAAGAGAGCCCTGGTTGAAGCCTAGACGTTTGCAAAAAGGCAAATGGGAAAGCAGAAGAATTGTTGACAGATAGCACGGACAGTGCTCAGCGCGATGGACCAAGAATCTGACGTTGAATAGAATGGCTGCTTCTCTTCTTGAAACTATTTTTGACTCAGTAGATTGGAATTCAGACACCTGGTATCTACTTCTGTGAAGCTCAGCCACTGGACTGTTTTGATTTCCAGATTTTCTTGATTTTGTAAGATACGTAGAAAACCATTGTTAAGAGGAGGGGGGGTTTGTTGTAAGTGACCACTGGTTTCCCCAGTCTGAGTTCAGGGATGGTAATTTTTGGCAAGGAATACTGGTAAGGAGAGATGCACCCTCTGGCACGTAGGTATATGTTAAAACCTATACCACTCAAACAATATTCTTACCAAAGAATAGCAAACGTGTTGGAGCAGAAACAACTGGCAACTCTGTCAGATGATCCTACGGGGTTTCATTTGGGAAGCACAATCACAAATGTGTGAACAAGCATCAAATTATAAGGATGCACTACCTCCATTGACATGTTCTGGAACAACATGGTGTTAGGCTAAAATGGGATTCAGTCATTATACAAGCCACCGCATTGCGGGATAAGATGGTTTATTTGCTTGGGTATAGCATGTTAACTGAGCACAGAAATTGGTTTTTTTGTTAAGCTGAGTTTAAGGTTAAACATTTGGGTGAGTCCAACCTGGGTGTAACAGAGTAGTTATTCGTGGGTGGGTGGGTTGTACACTCATGGGTAGTGAGTAGGAAGGAAGGAATTGAATCTTCATTTTTGAATACTGGGGGATTAGGGGAAAGTGGGAGATGCTCATGGGCTGGATCTCATGCCACGCTCACAGGCTTCCTGGAAGCATCCGTTTAAGGGAAGGATTCTAGAGACACAATACTTTCTTCCTGTATCATTACAGCACTGCTTTTCCAAAATAAAGTCACTGGAAGCTACTTTACTTCCACTCTTCCTCTTAAGACAAAACATCTGTACTTCAAACCAAAACACAAGGAAACATTTTTGCAGAATTTATTTTTTAAGGTTTTTTAATTTTTGGTTTTTCAGGTTTTTTTTTCCTTTTTTATTATTTTTTTTTAAAAAGCCCTAACTTCTATGGCTTCAAAGAAGCTTCAAGAGAAACTTATACACCATATCCTGTGTACACTTTTTTTTTTAAAGCAGTAACTAAACTTGCAATGCCACAGTCTCTCTTCTGCTTTGGAGCTACACCAGTACAAATTTCATTTCTATTCAGACTTGAAATAACCTTTTTCTTTTGTTACACAATTAAAAAAACAAAACAACCACACAATTAAGTCTGCAAGATTCATTTCAATGCAAATCAGACAGCATGGGCCAAAACTTACACCTGATAAGACCAGAGAGCTGGCAGGGCCAACTACATCCCTCACTGATGTGTTTTTGTTTTCTGTCACTTTAGTTGTCCCTTAAAACTTTGTCACATTTAAAAAAAAAGAAAAAAAATGAATAATCCACATTGCAACTGGTAGTCCAAGCACACTCATGCACTCTTTACATAAACATTTTAATATTTTTTTTAAATTTCTTTTACACCTTCCTGGGACTGGAACTATATATTTTTTTCCAGCACAATGCTTAAGGCTGTATTCTTTTTTCTCTTTGCATTGTTTGGGAAACAAGTTCAAACACTGCACATACCTAAGCAATCCTATTTTAATGGAAGTCGCCCAAATCAAGGATTTTTTCCTAGAAACTCCACTGCTGTATCCTCTTGATTCTGTTTAGCATGGCAGAGGCACTGCTGTAATAAAGTTTATAAACTAAGACCAATAAAGTGAGATAATATTCTGAGTTTTAGTCCCTGCTTTCCTTTCGTTTTCTACTTCAAATGGCCACAAAAACATTCATTCAAATAGGGCAAATAAATTATTATCCACCTTTGAAAAGCACAAAGAAGTAAGTGCCAGCTTTTGCAATAAATGGTTGGGTTGAGAGGATCTGTACCCACTGCATTCCCTTCAGAGCCATCTGCAGGACTGGCATCAGTTACGCAATCCGAAAGGAGGGGATTAGAATCTTAAAACCCACATTTTGGGGGGGGGGGGTTAAATCTAATCCTAGAAAGTGAACAACTTCAAGGCTATTAGGTGAAGAGGCAGTAACCCTCTCATAATTAGGAGGGGTGAATGAAGTCCGATATACATGATTTAGCACTAATGATGGGGGGTGTGGCAAATTTTAAAGATGTACTCCTTTGGTCTGTAGCACCACCCACCCACCTGAGTGATCTTTAG